TTACTCTCCAAATAATCGGCAAAATCATCAAAGAGAAAGAAAATAGAATAGTTGTATTTTCCCCTTTAAATCGAGTAACTTTCGTATTTAATCTTTTCCCCGAAATTGTGTTTTAGATTTGAAGTTTTCAATTATATCAGTAGATATACAAACGTTACGATGTTAACTTTAAAAATGGATTAAAAAGTTAATTTTAAAAGTTGACCATAACCTTGTTTCGTTTGACAAAATCAATGTGTTTCAGAATATCTAAATAATACTTAGATCTTGCGCGTTCAATTGTTTTCATTTAATTTTGCGTAAACAATATGCAAGAAATGTTACGAAATTCTGTGAACTGTGTTAGAATGTAATTTATCGGAACAGTAAACGGCAATGTAAACCGGTTTACATGGAATGATCACGTTATGGTCGATAAACACGATTGAATGGAATAACGCGTTAGTAGTTAGGCCAATATTCAATTACGAATCTACAGGTCCACGCTTTAATCTGTTGTTCCNATTCGGTAAAAAATTCGGTAAAAAGCATCCTAATTGAAAAATCTAATCATTTCTTTATGAAAAGGACTAATTGAATTTGAATTCCGTTGCTTCGCATACAGAAATCTAATGGCGCATTTTCTTCCACGGGTTCGCGCATATTTCTAAGATTATATGTCCTATTTAATTAATATGCCTACAATTACCAATCGAGAGGAAACCGAAAGCTTGTCTCCTCTCTACCTGTTCGAGAAATATTCTTTCCAAACTTGACAGGTTAGAATATTCTGTCATAAAAAATGTTGTGTACTTTGGTGGTGGCGGAAGCGTTCTGGCATTATAAAACTTGCTTGCTAAACACGCGTTACTTTCATGAAATTTTACGCTGAGAAAAACGAGCCACGGAAATTCAGTAGTACGAAATACGATATTTCGTCCAACGTGACTTGGAGTTCTAGCCAAACTTCCGTGGAAGTTCCCGTGCACTTAAACCACTTTAAAACGATACTATTCACCACAACTTTTTCAATCGAGATAATCTATAGGCATCGTATTTGGCTTCGTTTCATCTTGGAAAATAGACAATTTTCTGCAAAAATAATTGCAGGTATTCTTCTTTGAATCGTAATATTGATTGTATAGGAAGATAGTAAATAACAAATTTCGTTAAAAATAAAACTTTCTTTCGCATAAAACAATATATACATACAGTATATTTTACACGCACTAATTGTTGGTTGAATTATAAATTATCCACAAATGAAACGATACAAATTATACAAACGGTAAAACGAAGACGAAATTTTTTTAAGTCTGAGATCTAAATATCTCGAAAACTATAGATTTTCGAGAAAAATGTTAAATACGATAGTTACTCGATTTCAAGGGAAAATTACAACTACTTTACTTTTGTTTGTTAAACGCTTCAAATGGATTTAATTAAACGCTATATTTGTATTTACAGATATTTATTATACGAGAAAAATTAATAATCTCTTATATGAAACATTTGTTTATGAAATTTCTTCATTTTTTTATCAGATTAGCTTGGGAACGATGATAGTTTACTGACTTTATGCTTTGTTCGTATTACTCTCCAAATAATCGGCAAAATCATCAAAGAGAAAGAAAATAGAATAGTTGTATTTTCCCCTTTAAATCGAGTAACTTTCGTATTTAATCTTTTCCCCGAAATTGTGTTTTAGATTTGAAGTTTTCAATTATATCAGTAGATATACAAACGTTACGATGTTAACTTTAAAAATGGATTAAAAAGTTAATTTTAAAAGTTGACCATAACCTTGTTTCGTTTGACAAAATCAATGTGTTTCAGAATATCTAAATAATACTTAGATCTTGCGCGTTCAATTGTTTTCATTTAATTTTGCGTAAACAATATGCAAGAAATGTTACGAAATTCTGTGAACTGTGTTAGAATGTAATTTATCGGAACAGTAAACGGCAATGTAAACCGGTTTACATGGAATGATCACGTTATGGTCGATAAACACGATTGAATGGAATAACGCGTTAGTAGTTAGGCCAATATTCAATTACGAATCTACAGGTCCACGCTTTAATCTGTTGTTCCAGGCGAAGGACGCCATGAACGAGCTGGAGGGCATTGATCTCACGGATCCAGACCTCCACAAAGCAGCGACGAAAATCCAGGCGAGCTTCCGCGGTCACAAAGTGCGCCAGGAAGTGTTATCGACTCCTGGGAGCAACGAAGAGATTAAGAAATAAACAGCAGAAACCACACAAACAGAGTAGCTGATCTTTCGAGAATCGAATCGCCGATAGTTCGCCCGAAACGAAGCAACAAAAAATCCAAGTGAAAAGTAAACCGAACGATCAAACAGTAGCAAAGGAGTCGGGCATCATCTTTTGGTTTTTTGTTTGTCGTCGAGTCCGCTTCTATGCGATCGCATGCGAATCATTAGTAACGTCGAACGCGTCCAATACACGATGGCTTAGAATCGTAAACGATCTTCTTTGAAAAGCTTAACAATTCGAACGAAATGTCGAAAGTAGAGGAACGAACAACCCGCCCGTATCAAAATTGCAGTTCAACGCGACGGGACTACGTCGCTGCGAAAGAAGCGAATTACCGATCGTTCCGCGTAGAGTCTTTTCTGTTTTCGATTTCTTCGAAGATGGTGTAACCCCCCTTCGTATTAAACAGCCGAATCGCGCGTTTTCAGTTCTATTTACGTTTGAACACAACCGCGCGTATACCTGTCGCGAAAGCCGCGTTTCGACTCTAGCATTTACCAATCCTACATTTCCAAATATGCTACCGCGAACCTTTAAACGCCGGTATCGAGATTCCTCAGCTCGTTACCAGAAATTGGCTCCCCGTAATAAAGCACGACCTGTGGCCCCGTGGCCCCGTGGCACGTAACAAACGAGTCGGAAGATCGAGTAGGTCACCGAGCGAACAATAAAATACGACCGTGCCCATAATAAGCATCGTAGATGCATTATGTTCGATTCAGCGAACAAATTTAACCACTAGAGAAGGACTCTATTTTTCCCTCGTAAAACCGTCTGAGAGACGCAAATGAGAACGAATCGCTCGAAAAATAATAGCCTCGGAAGCTCGTCTTACGACGTGCTCTTGAAAAATCAAGCTCTTGCCAGCCGAATCGATTTCCTAAGAAGTTTTCTATCGCTTAAAGAGGCGCGACGAGAGAAAGCAAAAACAATGTATTCCTACGGTCTTGCCGTTATAAAATTTTTGTCATCGGTAAACGAACAATAGGAACGATGATTTCGATCTTGTACTTTAAAATATCGAGATGGGCCAACGTTCTCGAGCAGTGATTGCGTCAAATATTTTATGAAAACCCGATAACAGAACGTATTTTGCCCTTCTACAAGCTCGTTACGTTATAGAAAATAGCGTCGAGACTCGACGACCCAGCGACTCGGCCATTTGTATCGGACAGTTGTCCCCTCGCGAATCGCGAATCGCGATTCGCGATTCGCAATGCATTCACGAACGGCACACGCATGCACGCGCACAGGCACACCGACCGAAATGAGGAATTGACAACTGGTTGAAATATCAAACGTCCGCACGCGACCACACAAAACGTAGAGTAACGAATCCTCGCGAGTCCAGGACAGCGAATGAAAGGAGTGTTCCACTGCGAGTGAATCGATTCGGGAAGATACGAGACGAAAGAAAACAGTTGTAACCTTTGATAATCATTTGAAAGTTGAACCCAATTCTCTTCTTTTTACCTGTTTAACGTAATCAAGCCGTACAGATTATGATTAAACCACGAGAGACTCGTCGATCTTGCTACACAAGAGTACTCTAAGTCTACGAACGAATTACAAAGAAATAATTATGTACGTAGGTGTAATGATAACGACAGAAACAATGAAGAACGACTATATTCACCGAACCAATTGTACCAAGAGAAAAGAAAGTGTGTGCGAAAAAAAAAACGGGAGCATACGTACATACATATTTAACCGACAGTGATGGTACCGTCGAGGTTGCATTGCTCCAACGTTAAGGATATCTATTGCGATGTGTTGACACGCGAGTTATTATTTTTTAACGATAAGATGCAAATATTTTGATGCTTTTTATCACGTACAGCACGCGTTATGGGCAACACAAGCGTCGATATTTGCGAACCCTGTAGACGCGATAGTCGCGATATGTTCAACATCCTAGTCGGACTGCCATTAATAAAGAACACTGCGCTTCGTGTTATTCTGTTCTCTCATCTAGTCCGTTAATTTCTCTTCGGTTTCGATTCCATCTACCTTCGTCTACCTTTCGAGTTGTTTCGATCGAATTGGTCATTCGGTAGTACAGCACACATTGTTTTTAGCAGGCCTAAAAACGCTGCGCCAGTTTTTGTTATCGTTACCGGCACTCGTGCCATACCATTTTCTCAGTTTCATCCCTTTTTCCCATATTTTCACTCCATTTCTTGTCAGCACGATCACGAGGAAAAACCAGTCGTAATATAGCCTTGTTCATAATTATTCTGATTCGATATAGAGAATATTTTCATGATTCGTTGGAATGTTTCCATAAGTGGAACGTTGTAGATATGAAATTTTCTAGTAATTTTCTTCAATAGTTTATCTATTCGAATGTATATCGTTTCAGAATTTGTTTCATTGACTATTTTAACGAATATCTTTAATATAAATATCTAATATCAATTATTGCAGAAGTTGAACGACTAATAAATATTTTCATGCGTTGACTCGTGGATTGAATAGATTATCTAGAAACAGAGAATATTTCTCTTTTATCCGTTTCTAATTATTTACAAGTGCATCGTGGAACAATTAGCTCTGATATTTGCATATTTTGCATATTGATGATTGCATACTTATTGTATTATCAATTGTAAAACACCTTTTCAATTTAAAGATTAATAAGCAGAAGAGAATGAATTCTTTACGAAAATATTGATCAGTTTCATTATACATGCATGCCTGTTCTTGTATTACATGTATAATTTATGGCGTGCTGGGTTTATCGCAATATAAATCGGCGGTGAAGGCTGTTATCGTTCCAATAGTCTCTTCAATGATTTGACCGTTGATATTGGTTATAGTTTTTTCTTTCCTGTAAATACAGTAAGTATTTTTACGCTTAATTCTGTGAATTTAATAATTCTAATTAATTAATAATTCTGTGAAATAATTTTACTAAAAAGAAATGATGCATTAACGAACATTAATTTCATTGATCAGTTACTGCTCGTAGAGATGGTGTTTGTATCGATGATTCTTCGCATTGCGTTTTAATGGACTAATACAGTACTTTCGCGATCAATATTTAGTGTCTTCATTATGGTTCTTGATTAGAAAGCACGTTATTCAAAAGTTTGTTATACTTTTCCCTTATTCTAATAAATTTTTCGTCGAATTACTATTTGCTGTATAATTGAAACCAATTTTCCAAATTTTACACAATGCCGACTTTATTCATTTCGTATCAGTGTCTTTTGTTTCTTTTTGTCGTCAAAATAACATTTTTCTTAAATACTTATGCTTCGTATTAGTATATTTTAACAATTATCAGCCTTCTTCTATATACTCGCTAATACTTTGTTTAGTAATCTATTTAATTATAACTTCTCATTCATTCTGAAACAATGCTGACGAGTAATAATGAAATATTGATAAAAGAATTTTTTACTTCTTTCGTAATTTTCTGCCGTTTTCTAACCGTATCCTTAAATCGTTTATTCTAATATAATATTACCATACACACAATAATAATTGATAGCCGTATGAATAATTTTTACTTCGCAATTCTTCGCCTTGGTTGTAATATTGTTTTTGCGGCGTAATATTCAAAAAGATTTATATTTATGCACTATCTTTGCGTAGAGCAGGCTATTAATGAAAACAGGTTTCGTTAATATATTATAAAGAATTTAATAATTAAAAAAATTATAATTAAGCTACTTTCACAAATATTATATAAAAAATAAAAAAATTTATAGAGTTTTTCATGCGTTTACTTTAATTTTAGTATGAGACAGTAATCCCCGACGTGCGTTGTCACGTATCTCGATATTTTGAAATAGAAATGCAACGACATGCACAAATGGTACTTGAAGCGAAATGTCATACAAAATTTTAACACGCATATGTATTCGACAGTCGTATAGGAAGATACTTTTTCGACGAAAAATTAGTTGCAAAGCGATCGTGATTTCATTATTATTTCGGACGGAAACTTTGTATAATGACTAAAATGATGTGTATATTGTACAGTGCACATTACTAAAAGAATTTCTTATCATTTAATATATTGTATAAGTGCTGTAACTGCGCTGTGAAAAAATAATTCATTTCATTTCAAAGAGATTACTCTTTAAAATCTCTCTGCAATGTGCTCTCCATACTCGTAATTGTCTCGTTCTGTCGTTTTGTAATCGCGTCTTGGTATTTATTGTTAAACGAATCAACGATTTCTTTATCCCTGTGTCCTTCCTATATCCGCTCTGTCGTTCTATTATACCGTTGCTCTTAAATTGTTCAACAAAGAAGATCGGTCAAAAAAGATATTTCATGTTTAAATCATATTTCTTCGATTTCCATGTATTCGGTATAATTTTCAACTATCCTTCGTACTTCTTTACTCCGAAATCTCTTACTCTTACTTCACGTACCGCTTTCTAGAAAGCTAACAAACGTGTTACTATCGTTGAAAATGTCTATGGGAATTAATTCGTCGTGGACAAAAATAAATTAGGTGATTTATAACAAACGAAGGATGAAATCGTTATGCCAATGAAAAAACGTTGAATAAAAATTACTTTGAACGCATGATATTGAAAGCCGATTCACACTGCGACGCGTCGAGTCTCGGCAACGACACGCTAAAAATTCTGTAGAAAGAACTCTAGTATACATTAAAATCTATTTATAATATTATATTCCTGTTATAGTAAATACAATTTGTATGCTACACGTACTAAGAGGCTCCGCTACCAAATATTATTATAACCCATATTAACACTGCATACATATACATATTAATACTATTACCATTGTATTTATATTATATATTATATATTATATGTGTACAATAATATTAATATTACCAAATATATTTGTGATCTCCGTCAATATGACGTCACATTTACAACTGTTCATTATTATTGCCGTTTAGTGGGGATCGGCTTTATATTTTGACGAGAAAATGGTCGTCCGTTTACAAGCATATTATTAACATTTTGTTACATCCACCGGCCGAGATTCAAGAATGCGAACTTAAAAAATCGGGCTATCCACGAGGTTTCACCCGAAAATGAAAATTCTTCTCCCAAGGATTTGTCTTGGGAGTAAACAAACGCGGTTGCATAACTTTATTTGCTGCAAGAAAAATTATTGCTCGAACGATTCGTAGTATTAATGTGTAATTGAGACTATTTAACTATATTGGAGCTTCTGTAGTTACGTATACGTCTTTTGGGATTAAAGAGGGAGATTGTTGTAATAAATATAGGCATTTTCTTCGGTACGTGACGATACCACACAGATCTATAGATTAGTAACGCACGAGGTGTTGCGGTAAATTATATTTTAAGAATGTAATAAACAATTGTAATGTTTAAACGAGCAGTATCATGTATGTTATCTGTTTGTTTAAAATAAATATCCTTTAAGTGTACAAACGAAGCTTCCAATTTATATTATGGAACATTAGTTATATACCTTCGGCTGTGCCGATCATTTTAAATTTGCAATTTTCTTTAGTTTTCCAAACATTGCAATATCACGGAAATTTTGTTTCTTTAGTGAGCAACAAAAACCAAGCGAATTTAAATATAACGCGCGAAATTCATATGGAATTCAATTCGATTTAGTTCGATCGTGTACGTTAGATGTCGCATCGATAATTTTAAGATGTGTTCGTTGAAGAAGTGTTGTTGTCAAATTACCAATAAATGCCATAAATATTATTTAACAGTTAATAAAAACATATTTCTAGGTTGAAGTATTACTTGAAACGTGTTCCTATACTGTTTAGAACAAGTTACTAATTATGGGGAAGCGATATTATTGTGCTTATTGTGACAGATCATTTAAGGATGACCCAGAAGCCAGAAAAAGGCATCTTTCGAGTTTGCAACATGCAAAAAATCATGTAGATCATTACAATATGTATAAAGGTGATTACTTATTGATATAAATTTCTAAAATGTTTCTTAACGGTGGAAAATTCTATATAAACATAACCTAAAAATTATAAATTTACATTGTTAGTAAGCATTTAAGTATTAAACAATATAATTGATATTTTAGATCCGGATATAATATTAAAAGAGGAGCGCGCAAAAACACCATGTAAACGTTATTTAACCATTGGTGATTGTGCGTTTGGACTTGGATGCAAATTTTCCCATTACACGCCACAAATGTTATGGGAACTACAATATTATGGTAACGAACATATGTCTTTCTATGCAATAAAATTTCTACTTTATATTTATGAAAATGATATTTACAGTTGACATGAAAAATGCCTCAAAATTGCGTGTGGTGCCCGAAAATGGATGGCCTAATCCAGACGATATTATTAAGGAATACTTTGAAAATACTGAAAGTTCAAATAATATGGAAGAACCAAACTATCCTACATGGTTTAAACCATTAGAAGTACACGATTATTCGATGTTACCACCATCTCTATGGCCAATTACTCCAGAAAGCTTACCGGATAACTTAACGTTCAATAAGTGGGGTTAAAATAAAAAATAATATGTGTACATATATAATAAAAGCTTTGCTATCGATTAAAATAGTTGCATGAAGACTGTACATACATAAAAATGTAGATATTTTAATAAAATAAATTCCAGAAATTCAATAACGAGTTTATTTATGCTTGTTGTAATTTGGATTTTTATCTAAAGCAAACAAATACTTGTATAAACCTCTGAGCCATAGGTGACATAGACAGGATATTATATCAATGTTGACAAGAATTATTGACAGCTTTTTATTGTTTCCTCGTCTACGTATATTTACATTTAATTTAATTAAATGTATTTCTAGTATTATAGTCGGCATTAAGATATTTCAACATAGCAAGATTGATGCATTTACGTAGCCAGTCTGATTTTAAGATAACAAATGTTTTTGTTGCTTTCATTTAAATAATGCAATTAAAGTTCGTGACTTCCATATAGTAATAATGAAATTGTATAATTTCAAAGTTATCAGGTTGTTTACCTTCCGACATACTCATATTTACAATTCGTAT